CTGGAGAAGAGAAGGCTGAGAGGGGACCTGAGCAGTGTCTATAAGTACCTCAAGGGAGGGAGTGAGGAGGATGGTGCTGGTCTCTTTTCACTGGCGGCCAGTGACAGAACTAGAGGTAATGGCCACAAACTGAAGCACCAAAAGTTCCACATGAACTTAAGGAAAAAATTCTTAACAGTGAGGGTGACAGAGCACTGGCACAGGCTGCCCAGAGAGGCTGTGGAATCTCCTTCTCTGGAGATCTTCAAACGGGCTTGGATGCAGTCCTGTGCCACGTGCTCTTGGTGACCCCGCGTGTGCAGGGGTGTTGAATTAGATGACCTCTAGCGATCCCTTCCAACCTTAAGCATGCTGTGATTCTATGAATGTGCAAAACTTCAAAATACAAACTGTGTGAAGTGTTCTCCGTTCTAGTTTTCATGTTCTCTTTGGTGTCTTTGTTTTCTTAAATGTGATCTGCAATTCTTTCATCTCTTTTATAAACACAAGACTTTCAGTGGTTAAAAAGTCAATTGGAAAGTGTGTGAAAATAACCAGTTACTCTATTATCAATCTCTAGTATGAAGACTTGGGGTAAACTTTGTCATCCAAAGATTATTCTAGCCGCTGTAATACTAGTACAAGGTAGGTTCCTAAGACTTGTCCACCTTTCCTGGAGCATTGTTTTTGTTACCAGTACACAAAGTAGCTCATTGATTGAGGTATTCAGTCAGCCTGATGTTGGTTATTACAGATAATTTATTCTCTAGAATAATAAAATACATTATATTATATATTTTAGAACATCCATAAGTACACATCTGTAACTGCTTTGCTATTTCTTGTATGATTTGAGCAAAAATGAAATGTATCCTTTACTAACTTTCTCTCAAATAGCTCTGTTCTTCCCTTTAGGTTTAGATACTTGTGGAGTTGATGCCGAGATTTGCATTCAGTCTTTGATACCGTTTAAGAAAAATCAGAAGTAGAAAACCTGGTTTTGGAATGGACTAGAAGTCCATTGGTCTCATGTGGTCTTCTGCTAACCTTCTAAATTATTATTTCATTCACTTCTGTTGGACTCGTTCTCTTTGTTGCTAAATGTTTTGCCTAAGTATTAGTTTTTTGTTTTTTTTTTTTAAAAAAAAGATACCAGCTTATGCTTTATGCTGTATATTTCTTTTAGCCTGTAAAAACGTTTTCAGCAGTAAGCTATCCTTTTAAGGAGGAAAGAAAAAGTGGTTGTAGTGTGACAGATGCAGAAATGAGTGAGTTTGTTTTAAATGGTTTAATTAAAAGCATAAATTTTGGGCACATTTGTACTATCTTTTGAGGAAGCAATTTTTGTTATTACCCACCTTTAATATGCATTAATGTACATGAGACTCATTCCAGGCAACTTCCTCAATGTGGAAAGTTGGAGGAAAATGTATTCTGGAAGTGCACCCTTGTGCATATCAGCCATAGGCCAAAGAAGCTCTTGCTGATTGCTGGACCTCCTAGTCCGTGCCCTTTAGCCAGTGTCTTTGGTGCTGCTGGCAGGATATCCTCATTGGCAGCAAGTCAGCCGGCAGCGCAGCGCTGCTGGATGCCAGCCCAGCATCCAGGGGAGGGCAGCTGCGACTAACCACATCCTTCGGCACCTCTCCCTGTGCAGCCGGTGTCTGCTTGCAAAATACTCCGCAGCACATGGTAGGAACATAGCTGCGAGTGTCCTTCTTTTGGCTAAAGTATCTATGGGGAAGAGAACGGAGGCAAAGACACTTTCATTGCCAATAATGCAGGACAGAAGAGAAATTGCAGTGTCATAGCTCTGAAAAGTATGAACCAGTCTCCAGAGCCAGATCCGCCTAATCTCATTCCTTATTGTTGCCCTGCATGAAAAATGGTGAGTTCTAAACAGAGGGCTTTTGAGTCCTATTCTTTGATAGCCTTCCATTAGATGGAAAATATTTCCATGTGACAGTTCAACAAAATTGGTTCTGGTACACATCTGCACCTGTCTGTGTAGTCCACCACCCCTTACCATCCTCCCTTTCCGTACACATATGTTGACATGGAATAGCTGCTGTTTTTCATGTATCAGATATCTAAACCTATTCTCTATTTTCTCTTTTCCTAACATCTTTGCCTGTCATCTTGGAAGTAACTGCTATAGCTGAGAGGGCTGTACTTCTCCTTCATCAAACCAGTAATGATGTTGTGTGTTTTCTATTCCCTGCTGCTTGTCTTTCTCTTCCTTCATACCTTGGTTAACCTTTGAGGCACAAAATCTGTGCTTTTCCTCCTGCTTTCCTAGACCT